TTAATTTTCAGTAATAACAATTAACGAGGAACCTTGTAAATAAATAAATAAAAAATATTATTGTATTTTGTATAATCGTTAGTTATCATTGCTCCGCTCAGAATCTAAACTTCTGAATAAAATAATTTATTTTATGYGAAACCAAACACTTTAATTTTGGATTTTAATACTCTTGTTTTTTAGTAAATTGTATTGCCATTTACTTGGATTTCAGTTAAATGGTGTCATGGGTTTCATGTAATATAATATGGTGCACTTATATTATATTATAATATAAGTAATAAAAAATGATTTTCAAAAAACGCGTTTGTGCGTCAATATACCCATTCTGAATAGCATTTTTTCCCACACAAATTCGCGATTATATTATATTGTATGCCTCGAAAATTGGACACGTGAAACACGACCTCTTGCGAAACGACAACGTACGAATGCAGTGTACATTAGTGTAAGTGTACAAAATACACGATCTGCCGCGGCACTCCGTCGAGTGTATATAAACACGAAGTCCCGCAGCAGCCTGAATAATAAATAACAAACAGTGGTGTGTGCACGTTCGCAGACTGCATCGCAGCTCATCGGAATTGCTAATGTCCGGCAGTCTCTTTGCCCTCTTAGTCATCCGAAAGGGTTCTATGTCCACGGCGAGCAATAAATCATATCGGCCAGCTGAACGTCCGTTTGTTTTCGCGTACACAATTTAACACGCATAACATATTAAGTCCATGATAGTGTCTCGAGGGTGAGATCCTGCACATTCCGAACGGTGTTATTTATTTTATTTTTTTAAGTTTTAATCATTCATAGAGAAAATTATATTTTTTTCACCRCAGGATAATGATTTTTTAATTTCTATTAATTCGTACAGAAATTTAGACGAACAGTTTAAATTTATTATACTATACATATGAGTGGTAACCAAGCTTTCTCATTGCTCTCCCCCACTTTCCTTCGATACGCTGTTGTTCAAAATCTAATTTTTATAATATTCAAAAATACTTTAAGACTATATTTTTGAATTTTTTGAATTTTTTTGCTTTACTAAAAGAGTATCTTCTGAAGATATAAACTTCTGTTTTTCGAATGACTCAAAAAGGGGGTTTTACTCTAATAGTAATTTAGATWTTTTTTTTTGAAAATGTTGACGTATAAGAATCAAAACTCGAACGAGAAGTTTTTGAGTTAGTGAGTTAAATAACTAACGATATAACAATTAACAATATAGTTATGTGTACTAAACT